AAACAGACAGTAATCTTGTTTTCTGTATAACCGGAAAATAATGCGAAATCTAGTTCGATGTTAAATAATTTGGCTTGAAAGAATTAAATTTATTTAAAGAATTTAGGGAAATTATTTACTTTTGTATTAAATTAAATCGAGAAATTTAAGACAGATTTCAAATTTTTGACTTGAATTCAATTTTAAGTCTAATTTACAGTGTAAAATCGAAACCAAATAGTATACTTGTTTTCAGTATAACCGGAAAATAATACGAAAGCTAGTTGGTAGTAAAATAATTTGGCTTGAAAGAATTGAATTTATTTAAAGAATGTATTGAAATTACTTACTTTTGTATAAAATTATATTGAGAAATTTTAAACAGATTTCAGATTTTCTACTTAGATTCAGGTTTTATTTCCAAATTTCAATATAAAATCTAAACCAAACAATAATCTTGATTTCTGTATAACCGGAAAATAAATATATATATATAACTTTATTAAATTCTTCAGGATATACGAATAAATTTATACATTTTTTAAATTTAAACTGCAATTTCATATAGTTTTGTTCCGGTTTTAATTAGTTTTATCCTTTAGCGATGTGAAATTAAAAGTTAGAATAAGAATACTTAAACATACTTAATTTAGTATGCATTTTAATTAAAATTAAGGAAGGATTTTAATTTTTTCTCTGCAGCTGAATGTGAATTTAATTTACATCATTAAAGACCAGAAACTTCTCAAATGTTTCTTTAAAGAAAATTTAGTTAAAATTAATTAAAATTCTGCATATATGAATTCAATTTTGCTTTCAAAGAACTGCCAAGTAATTTTATACTTCGTTTGCTTATACTTTCCTCATGCATAAGATCTAACTGCAAATATTTATGAAAATTGTTTACATTTTATTTGCAATCTAAGTTTTGTATTTTTGTTTAATTTGCAACTATGCATTTTATTTTGAAGAAAAATGTCTCTTACAAATATTTAAAGTGTTATTGAGGTTTATTTTAGGTTGTTTTAAGATGTTATTTGATTTTTTTAGGTTGTTTTGAGATATTATTTGATTGAGACTTATTTCAAATTGTTTTCATAAACAACTTTAAAAAGTCAGTTCCCGAGGTTTATAATCAAGATAATGAAGTTGTTTTATTTCTGCTATTACTACTGTTTTTTCACTACTATTATTTACTTGAGGTTGTTTTGAAGTTAATAAAAATCTACCTCAGAACAACTAGCTAAGCGAGGTCTTTTTGAGGTTTACATGTTATTTTTTGTTAATCTTCAAGTAAATAAGCACATTTGAGAGGTGAATAATTTCACCCGATCTCAACTAAAAGTATTGATGAGCTATATATGAGGTTATGATTTCATGAGATGTAGATGAAGTTTATTGATATGATTATTTTTAGTGCAAAACATAACCTCATTTTCTGCCCCAATTGCATTTTTTACATCTGTTAACCTCAAAAAAAATCTCAAAAAACACCTTATTATTTTGTAAAGGATGAAATGTATTGCTTCAACTTTAAAAGGGACTTTAAAAAATTAGAAAAAGTGTACTTTTTTAAAAATGTAAAAAAAAAGTAAAGCTGAAATTTTAAAAAGAAATTTATGATTTAAAAAAGTTTACATTTTTTGAATTCTCATTAAAAAAAGTTTTAATATAAAAAAAAGTTTTTAATGTAAATAAATAAATTAAAATTATTTTAAAGCTGATGCTACTTTAAAATCATGACCGCAAACATTTTGTCAGAAATATACATACTTTCATCAACATATTATTTTCATCAGCATATAAAATAATTTTTACTCGAAATATCTAAACTTCGACTTTCGCTGCTGAAAATAGAAAAATCTTAATTTCTATTTCACTTTTTTTCAGTCAGGCTTCGCTTCAGATACTGATTAAAATGAGGTAAGATAATAGAAAGCCAGGAAGAAAGTTAGATCACTTCCATAAAGAATTTCTTAATTTTCCTTTCATTTACTTTCGGTATCATTATCATAACAGTAGACTCAAAATCTCATTAAAAGTTTTAATTATTTGTTTATCTGGTAATTTTTATCTTGTGCACAATCTATTAAAAATGAAAGTGCGCAATGGTTTAGCAATGGTTTAGATATGTAAACTTTTAACTAATTATTAATGTTTTTGATGTTTGGTGAGATTAATATAAGATAATTTTATGCTTCATTTGGATAGTAATTCTATCCTTTTTGTTATTTTAGATAACAATAACATAAAAAAATTCATTGTGGAAAACATATATATATTTTATTATAAAAACGAATTAAAGAAAATCAGAATGGGATTTTTAAAAAAATGCACCACGTTACGCTTTGCTTAGGAATCTAGCTAATTATTTTTTATTAAATTTAGAAATTAGTTACAAAATGCATCAACAGATGGCACTACTAACTTATACTACCTATAATACAATAGTTTTAAGCCATCCAACATTCGCCAACAATTGTTTTAGCAAAATGTCCTAAATTGAAGATAAAATCAGCAAACGTCCATGCAAATGTTTACTCGACATAGCTGTCTTTGATTAAAGTTGTATTTATCTTTTTCACTTGTTGTGCATAAAACTAGTTTCCTAAGAAAAATGGACATTTTTATCTTCTTCTGTTCTTTTTTACGTCGTTTTTAAATCTTTGGTCACTTTTGGTACACCATGGAAGAATAAGGTTAAAATTAAATTTTCTCCAAATCCCTCACAAAAATTCAGTATGGTATTAATTCAGTAGTTATATATACACCGAAGAGGCATTACATTATGACCACCCTCCATCAATGCAATGCGCTCGCCCAGGTTTTCATGGTTTCTCGCCCAGGAACAATGTTTTCATGGGCCATATTAGGACCCATAATCCTCATAGAACAATCCCTGACGTCTGTAAGCTACTTGAACATAGAGTCAGACCAGGTTCACCCATTCATGGCAACAGTTTTTCCTGCCGGGGATGGTGTTTACCAACAGGATAATGCACCATGTCATAAGGGTCGAATCGTAGAGGAACATTCCCGTGACTTTCAAGTCATGTCTTGGCCCCCAAATTCACCTGACCTTTATCCAATAGAGCATTTGTGGTCCTACTCGGAAAACCAAATTCGTTCTACCACGGTACCCCCTCGCAATGTGAGAGAAATGCAGGACCAGTTGGTGAGCGCTTGGTACCAAATACCTCAGACTACCTATCAGCACCTTGTGGAATCAATGCCACGGCGATTGCTAGCAGTTTTGAGGGCTAAAGGTGGTCCTACATGTTATTAGCAGGGTGGTCATAATGTAATGGCTCTTCGGTGTAGTAAATATTTAGTAAGGAACAATTAGCAGAACGTGAATTAAAAAGGTTTGAAAAATCATTTTTATTTTTTATTACTAAACACGTATTTTCTCAAGTAGAAAAAAAATCTACTATATACACTCTTTTAAGTATCGACGTCACTTAACAAACTCGTATTCTAAGATTATTATCTTTAAATCTTTCCTAATATTAAGAAAGAAAGAAATGCCAAACTTTTCTCCTACTTTCTAACTTTTCCTCCTTATTTTTCGTTAGACTTTTGAGTCAAAAAATCAGCGAAGCAATTTAAAATAAATGTACATTCAGGAAGCAAACGATAAAAAGTGGCAACACCTCAACTTAACTGTTACACTGCCACGTACAAAAATTCCAGAAGAAAAATAGATAGCTTTCTTAGTTTTTAATGCGGCCCTTACGTCGAACTTTTCCTGAGGACGAACATCAGAAACCAACTAAAGGTACTTTTTTTTCTTCTTCTTTGTAATAGGCTATTAAAAGACCTTCACTATCAGTGTACGGGAAATCGAGAAAGAAGAAAACTTCCGTGGAGTAAGGTTTCAACGAACTCGCCATTTTATTTTGTTTTTGTGATATGAGAGAAATAGGTTGGACCTACTAAAACAGGCGACTGATTTCTAGATAAAGATTAATACGAAGTGCTCTGCCAGAAAATAATTCTAAGACTAGATTATTATCTTAAGTTATGTTTCACGAAGTGTAGGAAATACTCGGTTCTTTGTTAAAACAATGCAATCTTCAGAAATGCAGTCTTTCAAATGCGTTAACATAAAATCAGTTAAAGAATCGTGTCATGCATCTATATTTAACCAGGAATTTATTATTTGAATCAAAAATATGATATTATTTTTGTAATGCATTATTTGTTTTCGCACAATGTTTCACTGGAAAACAACTACTTTTTTCAGAAACAAACAATATTTTGTTCTATGAAAAAGTCTCGAACTCATTACAATGCTTAAAAGTACAAAAATTAAAGCACACCTTACACTATAAAAAAATCTGCTAAATTTATTCCAAAAAAAAAAAACTATCAGCTGGTGTGCTATAAAGCGGTTTATTTCACAGAGAAAAACTCTTTAGTGAAAAACAGCTTTAAACCGTCAAATATATGGAAAAAGTCTATAAAAAAAACAGGAATAGCAAAAAACATAATTTTTTTTTAGTTTTTTTAGTTGTTTTTTAATAAAATTTAGTTATTTTTGTAGTGTGTAAAATGGTAGAATTTTCGAATAAAAAATGGCAGAAAACTGCAGTATATCTTACCAGAAGTAGTGACATATATTTTCAGTTCACGGCCCTAACATACCTTCAGTACTCACTCGAGTACTCGAGTGCAGCATTTGTATGATCCCTTTTACCGTAAACTCAATTTTTACCGTAAAATTTTATACCGTAATTTTTGCAGTAATGTTTATTTTATTGCAGTGATTTTACAGTAAATATTACTGTAAAAATAACGGTAGATCATATTTTTCTGTTCCGGAAAATTTTACGATACAAAGTACCGGCATTCAGAGAGTACTGTAATTTCATCTAAATGTTCTTACATTGCATTAATCACACCCAATTTAATCCCTTTTTTAAAAAGAATTTTAGCATTTGAGATATTTCGAAAAGCAATTAAAACGTTAATTTATCATAACCATCATATTAACTTATAATTATATTTTTTCCTCCCAGGCAAGCATTATTTGTACGAAGCATGAAAAGGAAAAAGTGAAAATGCAGTCAACTATAGAAAAACTTCAAGAAGCTTTCTGTGATAAAGAATCTAAGTTTCAGGTGAGATATTTAATAATCCTCTCCACGAATCACTATAAACTTTTAACCCCCCTTTCTTTAGTGAATTAATTACCATTTTCCTTAACTCAATTCTTAAGGGACCGTAAAGTGAATTAAAATTCAATTTTCTGTATGTTATTAATTAATTATGTTTGTCCCAGGAGGAATACCCCGAAGAGAGTTAGCGCGACTAAATTCGAAAGTATAGTTATGTAAGCGTCAAACATTGTTGGTGTCTTACAAGGTTATGTCATGCGCATATAAAAGGATTATTTGGAAGTTTAACAATGTAAAGACAATGTTTTTAACGCTAAAAATGTTTACATGTACTTACACAAAAAAACTTTGTAGTAAAAAAGAGGTTATTTTTTTAATGAATATTTTCTTCTGCTATCTACCTACTTGATTTTTGAAAAGAATACGAAACATTTGCTTGATGTAAAAACAGTCTTGTTTCAGATAAGAAGAATACTAGTAATTCGTATGAGGTATGTGTCACGCTAGGTCAACATGGGTTAACTAAATGGTAGCTTAACAAATATAAATTCTTTAAATGGTGTCCTGTCAAAATAGTTCTGTAATAGAACTTAAGAAGGATCAGCGATTGCTGGTATGAATTCTGATGATTTTGAAAACTAGCTCACAGCTGCAATTTTGCTATATTTATTATAAAATTTTGCTATAATTCTTTATTTAACTCATGCATTTTGTTTTCAGTAATCTTTGTCAAAAAGAAATAAAAAAAGCATAAAAGTTATGGGTCTCAAACTAATATTATTCAAGCGGAGAATAAAAAGAAACTCTATTGAAATATGACAAGTCACAAGAGGCGAAAATCTTGGTCATTAAACATCAAATCAAGTTCGATTTGTTTAATGAAACTTAGAAGTCTTCTTACTGTACCCTTCGACGATCGAACAATTTTTGATATTTTCGGTACCGCTTCCTCAATTGTAATTCGTTCAATGCCAATATCGTTTTTGTTTCCTTTATGTAAACTTTCATGAAAAGGATTCTAAAAATATGTATATTTGGTTAATGGTCATAAAACACAGTGCATTTATTAATTTTCCCGTTTTATATTTAATTAAGTATGTCATTAATCTCATTCTTAAATAACTTAGCAAACGAATCATTTCACTTAATAACTCGGTGTAATGGAATAAAATGTTTATTTTTCAGGACACGAAATCTCAATTAGTCAGGGAAAGACGAATGTCCGAAATTATGGAGAGGCAGCTGAAAAACGCTCGAAATCTATCCGAGCAATTAGGCCGAATTATTCATGATCGAGAGCAAGAAATACGAACTCTAAAAAATTTACTCAATAAAAGGCAAGACACTAAAAACCTATCAGAAGCCGCCGTTCAGGCGGCCATGATTAAAGCAGCAAGAACAGACAGGAGAAGATCAACATCTAAAGATGATTTTCAGTCATCAATGCGAAGGGTAAGATAAAAATTGCTCCTTAACCTGTTTTAATGCTATTTGATTTTCTATCTCTCCTTGCAAGCGTGCAGGTAAGACGTATGGAGCAAAATGATGCGTCAAAAATAAGAGGAAATGGAAGAACTAATCGGAACGTGTTATTACTTCGAAAACAGGGTGCACAAAATACAATATCGCGTAATATTACGTCAAAAACACGTAACAGGTTATTAAAGCATTTTCACTGCAATTTCCAAACTTTTATTTCCACATGACGTCCGATTTGAAACAAAAATTTCAGACTTAAAATTTTTTGAATTTGGATTGAATAAGAATATAAGGTTGCCTAAGGCTGTTGGCGGCATTTTATCCATTTATTCTGATCTTGATCGATGTCGTGGTTCGATGAAGTGGTGGAAATGCAAATGGAATATTCTTAATTACTGATGAACATTAAATATAGAGCAATCACTGGCTGCGGTCAGGAAGCGGGTGGGTGACCGCTTTGATTAGCTTACGTAGTAAACCGAGGATGCTCGGTATAGGTCCTCGTTAAAATATTCTCAACTTCGTGCTCGCGGTAAGTGCTCAACTTCGCGTGCAGGTCGTCAGGCTACCAAATCGGGGGAGCCATCCCCTCTGCAGAGGATCAAAATTGTGATTTGCATATCTTTGGATCTTCCTCGGAGATGTTTCCCACACCGTCACCAAGAGCCATTGTACAGCTGTAGCGCGACGTAAATAAAACACCTATCCACCAATCTCGCTGTGTGGTATCGACTAACGAACACTCGGTAAGCAGAGGTAGCGGGTTCGAATCTCAACATAGATCTTCGTGCTGCATTTCTCTGCTTTATGTTACCTGCCTTTATACTTGACAAAGGCTTATTTACCATGCTTATGTAATTGAGAATACAAGAATGCATGTATGTGTACCAATATATTAATAGATTAATAGCTAAAACAAAATATCCCATCTTTGCTTTTGGAGGCGGTACTACTTGGTGCTGTCACTCCTATTGTGCTATCTGTCCTCTTCTACTTGACGAAGGTTTATAAGCCTATTTTGAGCACACGAGCCTAAAAATTTATGTAATTGCAATAACCAATAAGCAATAACAAAATATCCATGCTTGTAGCAAAGCAGGTCTATTGCTGGAGAAAGGTAAGTTTTTATTATTCTTCCTCAAAATATTGGTTTTGTTTCTGAATCATGCTAAAATTTAACCAATACGGATCATAATCAAAACTGTAACTCGTTGATTTAGTTCTGGAATAAATACGAATATCGGGAACCAGATTAGTAGTCAAACATTCACAAATTACACGCTATTTTTAGAGGAAAAAAAACGTGCATTTTAAGGATGAGACTCGTATTCCTTTGAATTTTGGTTATGAAAACTACGCTCAGTCTCATAGAAAATGTCACTCACTAATCACGATAGTTTTTTGCATATAAATACCTTCTCGCATTTAATTATATATTATTTATTATCTGTCCACTTTTGCTTGAATGAGCCTTCTACATTCGAGGTGGCCTGCATATGCAGACTTGGGTCTGCATTTTCGAATCTATTTGTTGATAGGATAGATCAGTAAGATTTAAGATATGTTACTATAAATTCAAGAAATACTACACTTGCAAAGGCAAAAATTTTACAGCGAAATCAGTTACCATCTAGAGATTGTTGTTGAATTGTTAAACATATTTAAAAACCACAAGACATATATGAGAGGATGGTCTAATCACAAATAATCAGCTCTTTTGATTTAAGTGATTGCCTTTATGTTTAAAGATGCTAGTTCAAGATATGAAAACATTTTCAATCCATCTGCTTCACTCTTGACAATTCATAGCTCAATTAGGAAACATATTAGCATTTATTCTATATATTTATTGTATATTAGGAAATATACGGCTAGAAAGTTTTTGAAACAAATTTTGACTATAATTAATATGCTAGCTTGAATAGGAACACAGTTTTTCTTATTTTATTCTACTTCTTAAGTTTCAACGTTCTTTGAAGCCCTAACTACTACCCATTTAGTAGTTACATTAAGTATACAATAGTAAAGCTTTATATACTATTCAATTGCATGGAGTATTGATTCACTTGTATGAAATGTTATTCTGCATTGTTTAAAGTTAGACACATTATTTTGACAATATTAACGCAATACGATTATTCATACTCAGGAACAATAAAAGAACTCGAAACTCATATTTTATTTACTGTTTGGTTACATTGGTCACAGTATTAAAATAATATTAGCGTAATATTAATTATTTTTCATTCCTATTCATGTATTGAAAAAAATAATTGTCTATAACACAATTTTGAAGTATCTATTGGTTCATATTATATCCAAGTATTATTATAGCTTTTTACTTGATTAAAAACTTCATTCGCTTCAAAAATACATAAATCGGAAATAACAGTCGACATGTTTCAAGCGTTCAGAAACATGCGTCAATTTTCAAGACTTGCCAAACATGAATGTAAATAAGCGAAAGTGATTTGAAATATAAAACGTTAACTTATAAACAAAAACTGGTTAATAAAGGCGAGGAACTAAACTAGAAAAAAATACAGTAGAAGGGAGAGAGAAAAAAAACAAGACAACCACAGTAGCTGAGAGGGGCAAATTAGTTATTTTACCTCTCCATAGCGCGTGTAAATGCATTTCTACCTGATTTGCTCCTCTCGGCCACAGTGGTTTGCCTTGTTCCGTTTTTCATCTTTTTTTTGTGTCCCGCAGTGGACTGATCGTTTAGACATGGTTCCCAGTAGATCACCGAAGTCAAACATCACTGACTGCCAGTGTACAATCCAAGTGAATCATTCTGTGAAGGGTCCGAGAGTGTGCTGTATTAGTCCTCGTTAAACTGTTCTACCGTAAAGTGCTCGACACCACAAGCAGGTCGTCGGGCTACCGAAGCGGGGTGCCATACCAATACCTCTTAGAAAGGAGAAGGCCTTAGCACGGGTTACCATAAACAAGAAATTTGATCCTTTAGTAGTCCGAACGCAATGACATCTTTCGTATTTTCCATTACTGCGCAATTCAGTAGCCCGAATGTAGTGACATCTATCTTCTTTTTCATCGACTGCGCAGTTTATGTTCGTCACTTCGGACTACTAAATTGATCCGTGCTGAGGCCTTCGTTCTTTTAGGAGGTGTTGGCCATACCCTCTGCTGAGGATAGAAGTTGTGATGGTATGTCTTCGGATCATCTTCAGGGCTGCTTCCCAGACAGTCGCCAATAGCCCATTGTGTAGCTCTAGTGTGACGTAAATGAACAACTACTACAATCTTTTCTTTCTCTTGCTACTAGTTTTGTTTATCACCTTTATTTTTTCAATTTTTCGTTGACAACGTTTCATTTTTTAATTCAAATCACTTTCATTTCTTCTCCTTCACGACTGGCAAGTCTTGAAAATGGGCATCTGTTTTTGAACGCTTGAAACAGGTCGACTGTTATTTCCTACTTATATATTCTTGAAGTGAATGAAGTTCTTAATCAAGTTATATATTACAAATTCAGTTTCTTGAGATTATTTATTTTACTATTGAAGCATGTAATATTAGACACATTATTTAGTCAGTATTTACGAAACACGACCGTTTATATTCATAAATGACAAAATATAATTGTCTCAATTTCAGATCTTGTGCTATCTATCATATTCGCTTAAATGAAAACATTATTGAGTCGTTTTTTTATGTGTTGGACACAATAGTGAAACATAATATAAATATTTATATCCATAAATTCCAATTCCAGATAATTAATAAAACATACGCGTTTCACGGTAACAACAAATGAAATTAACGAGTTGAATGCTTAATTTCAACACCATTTATTGACATAAAATTACACCCGTATTCCGGCCATGATAGTCTTTTGCCCTGCTTGATAAAGAAACTTTAATCGATTCTATTCTATCTCTTAAAAGAACAGGAAGTGCGACTGCGTTCGTGATAGATGACTTGTCAATTCCATAACAATCTGCACACTCCGCCATTTGTAGGTCTTGTCAATGACACGACAAAAATACAGCATCATCATCAAATACTCTCGCTGACAGATTGCCCGGACTCCAGTGCATTGAAATGAGCTGCTGTCGAGGATATTGATTTGTCATTACGAACGAAAACTAGTAAATCCACATGTTTTAAGAAAAAGAAATAATCAGTTTACTTTGGATATAAAAATTAAGCTTTTACGATCTCGTGAATAGTTTTTTCTTTCATGAGTGACAATTTACTATAAAAAAAGTAAACAAATTAATTAAAAGTGGTAAAAATAAAACCAAGTTTTAATAAACTCAAGAGGATTAATGATTTGAAGGCCTCTTGTAAGAGGAAATTGCTTGAATGTATGAAAGTAGTTGCACGCAATCTGTTAATAAAGCCACGCTAATTAGTTACTTAGCGATGGAATTTTTTAAAATAAAAATGTTTTGAGGCTTTAAAAAGTGTCTTTAGTGTTAATGATTTCGAGTGGGCACTGTAGAATTTTTCAAAAGTGAAAAGATCCTAATTGTAATTCTTTATTTCTGTCCCTGGTAAACCAACTCTTACTTTTGACCCTATTTTTTACAACTTGATTCTTAAAAAAAATTGATTTTTTTAATTTAAATATCCCTTAAAAATAATAGATTTGTTCCCTTTTTGTTTTATTAATAGTTTATTTTTACATTAGTACATTTGCCGTTAATTAATAATAATTTCTTTAAAACTCAAATAAATATCTAGCAGCAGCAGCTAAAATATTTCCTCTTGCGATGAAAAAAATAAAATACTCTGTTTAAGATGAAAGCTGTAAAAGCAATTCAAATTTCCCGTATAATACGGAAAATTTAAAAGCGCTGTCAAATTATATTGTGAATAACATTATTTTTTGTTTTTAAGTTTGAATAAACCAGGATCAGCCTAACACGGAGAAGCAATGATTCTTTATCACTTTATACAAATATTTATTTATAAATTTAAAATACTGATATCGAAATTTATAG